ACACATAATGGGGAGGGGAAGTCAATACAACAAGTTCAATTCTCCTCACCAACTTGGCAATAAGTACAGTATATATGTTTACAAGAATAAGTCCACAAAAAGCTCATGTTATAGAAATTCACGCCTCCAGTGGAATTGTTTGTCAACATCATTTAGGACGTTCGTTTAGTCACTAAAAGTTCCTGTATCTTTTATTTTTTAAATTCTGTTAGGCATTGCTAAGATACTATTATTTTGTCAAATGGGGGTCATTGCAATTTAAATTTGTATTTTTTCCATACACATCTCCCATTAATAAATGCCACTGTCAACTATCATAAAAGTCATTAACTAATGGTGGAACTAAATTTCCCTGATACCACCCGCTGATGACAGTGAAAACCACAGTCTATTAAAATACCATTAAACTTTCTCACTCAAATCAACCAAGAAAAGATGTCAAGGGTCATCAATGCCTTAACATTTTCACACTGCCACCCAACGATGCCTGCACCTTAAAAGCACCACAATATGTCTGCGTTCCTATCCACCCACAGTCCCAACAATTCAAGAAACCAAATTTCCATACCAACTAACCAACCAAAACAATTATGCCACCCAACACCTCTGTTAGAGTTTTCTCAGCCAGCTATTGATGTCAATGAGAGCCTGCCACCTTTATAATGTGTAGGACATCAGGACCAAACTGTGTACATGTCCGTGAAAGGTCTGCCAGACTGGCCGCAGCCTTTAAGTACCTCATGACTTCACAGGTTGTCAACACCTGTGGCAGGGATTATGTGTGTCTCTACCTCATTTTTTATAGGGTTTGGCCAAACTTTACATGAATATTCATTGCAATTACACAGAAATGATCAAATTTATTGTCATCTTGGGATACATGTCGGAATAGCGTCTGTCCCACACACGCGCGAAGTACGCCACCAACCTCAATACTGACGTTCCTACCCATCTCAACACAGCAAACTTTTCATTATGACTCACACCAATTTATTGTTTCTTCAACAAACCAACGTCTCTTCCACAAATTGACAACTTTTTTCCCCCTTGTTGATTTTTATCTTTAAGTGAAAAAAAATATCAAACGCAACAAATAATTTCTGACAAAATAAATAGAATTTCAGTTATTTTGTTTTTAAATGATTAATCCTTGTCATTTTAATTTCAGAAATGAGTATGTCAATACAATTGTATGATTGGTTAAAACTGCACACAACTAGGAGTTGATCTTTTCCCAGCAATTCTGATGTCCTGTCAGCTACCCCAGGGCAATTTATTTTATTCTCTTCATCAACATTGCAGCTTTTTCTATGTTCTCTCCAGTAAACAAAAAAAAACACTGCCTTTAAATTATTGATACTTAATTGCACAAACAAGGTTTTCTTTCTATTGAATTTGAATACCTTTAAATTGAAATGAACAACGACTTTTTTGAGAATCTATTATATTTTTGTTTGCATGTCATTGACAATGACTAGAGGTGCGTACTAGGTCGTGACAGAGACATTGTCAGTACATATA